GATAAGCGGATGAAAATGGATGGATGAAAATGGATGGATGGATGGATGGATGGATGGACAAATAACATAGATTTACATGTAAGTAGTTTAAATAGAGTGCTGTGCTGTTTGAATGTATAAACTGAATGCCAAGAGAAATCACTAGTTTGATTTTTTTCCGTGAATAAAATAAAAATGTCAGGCAGGAGCGTCTCAGGATCTGTCTGAGATCTGACTCGGTGAGACAGATAATAGCAATCCAAAGTGCTTTTTATGTGTGATCTGACAATTGATCAACAATTGCTTAAAAATTAAATACAGCTTAGCCGGTTAATTGCTGTGATCATAAAACACGTAAACGGCAGCACGCAGAACTCACGAGGCAACGTTTTACGTGACGTTTACTCATTGCTGTGAGTAATAAGACAGAAAAAGCCACGCCAAAATAAGTTTAGGAAGCCCACTAAGAATCGTAATAAAAGCATTTAAAATAAATACCATACACAGTTGAGGAAACGTTGGTTTAAGTACCTGATATGAAGTGGTCGCTGCATAAGTGAAAACCTTTACTCTCTGGGTCCCACAGTTTCATTTTAGCCCGGTCACTAGCGCGTTTTATTACAATGATCCAACGTTTGCGGCGCTCCGGATCTTGGGGAATCCTGTAGATGGCTCATTCCTTATGTCGTCCGTGTCTGTTCTGCATCCTGGGGCACAACAGGAATCTACCATATTTCCCGTTTGATTGAGTTTTCTGACAATAACAAATAGTCCAGCTGCGGGCTTCTGCCTGCCAATATGGCGCCGTTTAGATGTGAACTGTTGCACGCCGGGAGAAGTGACGTCAACTCCCGGAGCTCTATAGATGGACTTCTGTCACAAACACATCTGGCACAGATGTACGACAGCACATTAGTACCACTCAGAAGAAAAAAGGTGTGTCAAGGTTAACGTTTGAAGATAAATGTTTGGTTTTTTTTATTATAAAATCCAGGTCTTAACTAATGAAGTTTGGGAGAAATACCGATCTCGGTTAGATTTATGAATTCATGTTTAAAATTTACAAAACTATAATTTACCCTTTTCATGTTCACTTAATAAAAATATTAATTTAAAAGAAAGATTTTAATTTTTTTGTCCACTGGTGCTGTTTTCCCCACAGTGCGAAGCTGGTTGGTGTAGGGTGAGGTGCAAATGCTCTGTTGTGAATTAGACAGAGATGCTAACGTTTTAATGGTGCTGCTAACTGATCAGACGTTTATCAAATTGGGGTTTTTTGACTGAAGAAAGGAAGAATGAGAAACTGTGGGTTCATTTCAGCTGATATCAGCGTCACATTTTTCACTAACAGTGCAGCTGCATGTTTTCCCAGCTTCATGCAGCTATTGTTTAATCCTCCTCCTACAGGTGTTATATCCTGAAATGTTTCTGCGCCAAAAAACAATCAAACGGAAAGCCATAAATGTTTTTTTACGGAAAAAGATAAGAAACAAGCAGCTCTTTCATTATTTTGCTTGCTTCAAATCTGATTACAAAAACCCTAAAATCACACCAGTCCTCACGTGTCGAGTGAGATGCAACAGCTATTACACAAATACGAGGTTAGATATTATGGTTCCTCCTGATCCTGCCAGATGGCAACTCATAATTAGAAAAAAAAGAGGGGGAGAGAAGATTGCATTAACACCTGTCTGCGCTGCTTGAGGGAGACATCAGTCTAATAGTTTGCACCCCAAAAGAGAAGCTCCTGAAACCAGAGCTTCCTGAAGATGCTCTGAAGAAAAAGAAAAGATGGCGAGCGAAGAATCCGATTTCACAGAGTAATTATTCAAACAATTAGTCAGAAATGGGATCTCTCTCTTTGAGCAGGTCAGCTTGCTTTCTTCATGAGAGGAGCATCTGGGAGTAAAATGATGAATCCATTATCCTTTTTTTTTTTTTTAGAAAAGCTAAAGCAAAGACTTTACATCTGTTCGTCTTTTTCCTGTTTAGTTTTTAATTTGACCTTTTCATCCCTCTTCTGACATCTTTCTGGTTTTCTTCCTCTTCTTGCTGCAGTTTGTTGATGCAGACCATGGACGTAATTTTGGGGGGGGGACAGGGGGGACATGTCCCCCCCACTTTTTCCAAAGTCAAGTTTTGACCCCTGCACTTTTTACCATCCAAAAACAATATTACGCTATATTAAATTGACACTGGTTGAGCTCTAGGACCAAGTGGAAAACAACCATTTGTGTTGAAGCCTGTTTCCCATTAGAGCATACTGTAAAGATACCCCCCCTCCATGTCCCCCCCACTTCTAAAGTGAAAATTACGTCCATGATGCAGACACAAAATTAATGTCAAAGCTCGCATCAAGTCAGCAAGAAAGCAAAACCAGCATATTTCCCAAAAGCAATCCCTTTAAAAGGGTGTACGTTCCCTGCAGGATGAGGAAATCTTCAATCCTCCGAGACAATTAAAAGCTTTCCAACACACCCTCTGGATTCTCTGAGAAAATAATCTACATTAAGCGAAAAGAGGAAGAGTTTTATTGGAACTCGTAAAAGCTGTCATTTGGAGACTCGAGCTTTTTCACCTGAAGGCTGAATTTGTTTGCTCCACCCTTTTCTTAGCAACTCTCACAAATCCCAGATGTCTGGATGGAATACATTTTTTAAGTCGAGTGTAAAATTAGATAACATTCAGCTTAGCTATCCTAAATGCACCGGAAGTGGTTTTATTGAATTTATTTTATTCTATTTTTTTCTGTCAGCTGAATTTCCACCTCCGACCCTAGCTTTGGCATTGGTGTACATTTTTTTAAATTTCACCGAGCTAATTGGGATTAATAAGACCTTGGGTGACGGTGTCTCAGAGGTTAGGAGTTTGCCCTGTAATCAGTGGGTTGCTGGTTCAAATCCCGGCTCCCGCAGTCATATTAGTCATTGCGTCCCTTGCAAGACACCTGACCCTCCTTAACAGCTGGTGGCAGTCTGAGCTGCTGGAGTCGGTGTTCCGCAGGGCAGCTGTGGCTACGTTGTAGCTCATCACCACCAGGGTGTGAATGACTGTAGTGTAAGAAAGGAGCTATACAAGAATGACGCGTTGCTTATATTTCGAGTTCGTTTTTCATGTGATACGCTTCCAGAAAACGTCAAACTCCGGAATTCAAATTGGGTCAGACAGGAAGTCAGGCACATAGCAGTGTAAAACATTCAAAAACTTTCAAAATAAAACTCACTTGCAGATTTTCTGTTATTTAACAAGTAAAAAAAAGGAAGTAATGTCCTGCAAAATCTCCGCAGCCGAGGTAACTGGAACAGAAAATAAACCACAGACCTTTTTAGATACATGCTGCAACCTATCACAGTTCAATTCAGTTTATTTATTTAGCACCAAATCACAACAAAAGGTGCCTCAAAGTACTTCACTAAGTAAACATTCAAATTGAGTTTAGTTCATTATGCCAGTTAGTTAAACATTTCCTATATAAGGAACCCAGCAGATTGCACTGAGTCACTGACTTGTGTCTGTGACTTTACAGCAATCCTCATTCTAAGAAAGCATGTAGCGACAGCGGAGAGGAAAACTACACTTAGCCCTCTCAGGCTCAAAATAAGTTTGATAAAAGGACGAACAACTAAGTCCTTCAGGGGTACTTCTGCGTTAAAAAATGCTCATGAAATACGCATGTGGAGCAAATCTGCAACGCCTGCCCCCAGAGGGTTAAGCAGGAAGAAACCTCCACCAGAACCTGACTCAGTATGAGCAGCTATCTACCACGAGTCAGTGGGAGTTTGAGGAAAGATGAGGGTTTGCTTGTGGGAGCTTCCTAAATCACAAGTGGTGTTTTCTGTGATTTTGTGACCTCGATGGACCAGCTGTGTGGAAAATCACTCCCATTTCACGTCTAAAACTCTCAGTTGGAAAAAGCTCGTGAGTTACACTCGTCTAGTACACACGTTGCTTACATGTCAGGTCAGTTGCATTCTGTGTGTACATGCACGCATGTTTGTTAATTTATACGTGGCCATGCGATGGACTGATTATGTGTTCAGGTGGAACAAAAATGGCTGAAGAGACTGAATGGATGAAAAATAGAATGAAACATGCAGCTATATAGACTTCCTCTGTGTTTGTTAGAAATGAATGAATGGTGAACATGAGCAGGACTTTTACAGGGTGGGAATAGATCCAGACACAAACACAGACACACACAGAGGAACCTGGATGCCGTGAATTGCTGGAGAGCCTGCTATGTGTTGCGTGACCTTTCCTGCTCTCAGATTCCTCCGACTGCAAGGCTGCTGCACTCTGCCCAGTGGTCAGGCGGGGGGTGGACTGGGTGACTGCAGAGGGCTCATGTTAGGAAATCTCTGGGTTGGCATTTCAAGTAGGTTACAGTTCATTCATTAAGGGAAGTTAGCACAGAAATGCTTAGAGCAAGGTCATCAACAAACAGTTTGAAGTAACTTCACTGAGAAACTGGAAACAGGAAGTACTTTTTATGATTATCTTTATGGAAAAAGTGTTATTTAATTAACCAAGGAGGATCAGTCAGCATTGGACAGAACAAAATGATTTTCTGTATTAAAATTTTAAAGAAAAACTTTCTAAACAATTGAACGCAGACTCACGTTGGCTCAGAGGCAGCAGCACGTTCTCTACTGGGAGGGATGTAGGTTATTTTAGGCCTGGCTTTGCACCATATCTTCATGTGCACATCCTGGTCTACTGGGTGCAAAGTTGCATCATTTACCCAGACCTTGCATCAGATCAACCGTCGCCCTTGTAATGTTTAAACGTTTGTGTGTTTTGTTTTTCTCTCAAGCATTCTGATTGTTTCAGTAATCCACGTTCTGCCACTGTGTGTCTAATCCTGGTTTTGCAGCAGCTAAACCCTGACATTGATTCCTCCCTGTGAAGTCCTTTATTGAGCCATAAAACAAAGTCATACAACAGCTCCATGAGATGCCAGTGAATAAATATGACACACCAGTTAATCCTTAATCCAAACCTCTCTCTCTATCTCTCCTTAGTCCCTCGAAACCACGGCCACAACACCGTTCTCGACTCCGACTTTGACATTGAGCTCGGCAACACGGCGGATGAACTCAACGATGATCCAGGTAAACGTGACTCTCTTTTCTGACACAGTTAGCAAAACATGGCAGACTTAATCACATGAGCGATGGACAAGCTGGTGACCACCTCCTGCAGCGCTATTGTGACGAGACTGGTAAAGTTTCTCACCACGAGGTGACGTGTCACATCTGGACGTGTCAGTTTAAATGATGACTCAGAAAGCACTGCCAAAACGTCTTGCTTCTCTCATTGTGTCTGCCCGACTGCTTTCGTGATGAATCGATTGGAGGCGCATTGGTTTTCTGCTCAACACTTAATGCAGAATTCCTCTCAATAACTACAGCAAGCTTTTGTGAAGAAAAAGGATTCTCCGACACGTTCGCTCAATACGACTTATTAATGCCAATTGAGCTAAAACAACAATGAAATGGCTTGCGTTTGGTTTCGTTTTGTTTATTGAACATACTTTACATAGAGAGCCAGGAGAAAATACACAGAAAATGAACAAAAAGTCGATTAGCTTTTGCTGGAAAGTCTTGTTTTAGGGAACAAAATGATGGATGCTACTCTTATCTGTGGAACTATTCATGCTGCAGTGCATATTTTAATGCCCCATTTGTTGTCTCAGCATCGCATTCAGGAGAAACAGTCACTCAAATAGGTAGTGACTGAATAATGACATGATTGAAAACTTAGATACTTAATCATAGTGAATGGCAGATGTTATCAGTATTTCATTACAACTTTATCCAGTTTTAATATGTGAACTGAGAACCAACAGGAGAATATTCCAGGAGATTTTCACACATTTTGAGGCACTTCTCACTAGGCATGAGTACCTTTGACATTCGAATCGATACGGTACCAATTCTCGGTACCTACGAATCGATACCTGTACTTAACTGTACCAATGTTCTATACTTTTAAGTGTTTAATAATTGGTTAAATCACTTTTTAAATTAAATATGTATTATTTTCCCAATATATAACCATATTTGATAAATATCATGATAAATAACATACAACTGTTTGTATTTTATCATTGTAGTGTTGTACAAAAATCTTCAATATGAAAACCTTTAACAACAACTGTTGACGCATAAACAAACCCTGCTCATGTACTCCTAATCCTCTTCTATTCCCTCTGGAATAACTATGATGAGGAGAACGTGTATTATAAACTACAAATGAATCTAAAGCAAACTTCGATCCATTACAACAGTTTGTATTTTAATATTGTGGTGTTTCACAAACTAAACCCAGCTCCGTGTACTTCTTTTCCTCTCCTTTCCCCTCTGGACAAACTGTGTGATGGTGGGTCCTTGTAGTTTTATAAACTGTTAATTACACTGAAGCAACCATCTTTGCTGTAAACTAAATTTACTGTGTATCTTCATTCCTTTTGCTGTTCTTTTTCAAACTGTTCATTTTTCCTACTCGGAAGTTGGAATTTCCGAGAAGAAAGCGAACACACAAAAACTAAGCTATCAAGCTAGCGTTACCTTAAACAGTTTATTTGACTGCTGGAGCAGATTAAGATGCCTCATATTCAGGTCGTTGTCGCTGGTTTCATCGTCACCCAACAGCCCCTTAGTAAAGTGAAGCCAAACTTTAGAGCGCGTTCGCTTTCTTCTAGTCGGAATTTTGGCGTTCCGAGGAGAAAGCAAATGCACCATTAGCTGAATGGAAGCTAACATATCAGGCTAACGTTATCTTAATTATTTTATTGACCTACCGGCGCAGAGTTTACAGCTCGCCCACAGTGACTGACGACTTTACGCTCTTGCGCTGGAACGCAGCATGGGTACTGAAACAAGGCACCGTTTCGTGTGATGTGAATCGGTACTATGGAATTTGATCGGTGCCTTAAAAAGTACCAAGTTCTGTACTCATCCATACCTCTAGCATGTTTAGCTATGTTGTTGGTTTCCTAGAATAAAAAACATACAAGTTGTACCTTTTTGTAAAGGTGATAAATCAGGCCTTCCAATGATGTTAAACACAAAAACAGCTGATGTTTTTAAAGAGCAAGTCACCCCCTACCAGAACCTTAAGCCTAATTTATACTCCTCCGTTTACACACACTCAGCTTGGACAGAGAATTAGCAGCAAGCTTTCTAGTCTGGAGGATTTCTCCGCTTCTCCTTCACCAGAGGAAAGAAAGGAACAGAAGGAAAGTATTTTAGAGGAGGCGAGCGGCTCTGAGCCTTATCATTTTCTATCGGCTTGTGAGTTACCAAGGCTACCAGTATCTAGCAAGCTTAGATATCTAGTGGAGGTGTGGCCAAGATTCAGCTGCAGTGCAGTGTAGCCACGTGACATGGTACCGCTAACGCCACAAGGTACCACCCAGCCAATAGCAATGGCTGTTTCAAACTCAAATGTAGTGCAGAGTTTTAATGTGAAGAGAGCGGTTTTAGGCAGAATTTAAATTGTGCATAAGATGCACCAAAATGCCAAAAGAAACCACTAGACATGTCTGCAGCACTAAAAGACACTCTTTTATAGTTTACCAGCAACAAAAAGTTGATTTGGAGGTGACTTGTTCTTTAAAGAGTAGAAGTAATTGATTAAAATAACCCTTGTAAATTGTGGCAGGAGAATCTCGTCTCTGCTTTTTGCGGATGATGTGGTCCTCCTAGCTTCATCCAGCTCTGACCTTCAGCTCTTGCTGGGTAGGTTCGTGGCCGAGTGTGAAGAGGCTGGGATGAGGATCAGCACCTCCAAATCTGAGACCATGGTTCTTGACCGGAAAAGGGTGGCTTGCCAACTCCTGGTCGGGGGAGAGGTCCTACCTCAAGTGGAGGAGTTTAAATATCTCGGGGTCTTGTTCACAAGTGAGGGTAGGAGGGATGGGGAGATCGACAGACGGATTGGTTCGGCGTCTGCAGTGATGCGGACGCTGAGCCGATCTGTCGTGGTGAAGAGGGAGCTGAGCCAGAAAGCCAGGCTCTCGATTTACCGGTCGATCTACGTCCCAATCCTCACCTATGGTCATGAGCTTTGGGTAATGACCGAAAGAACGAGATCGCGGATACAAGCGGCCGAAATGAGTTTCCTCCGTAGGGTGGCCGGGCTCAGCCTTAGAGATAGGGTGAGGAGCTCGGACATTCGGGAGGGACTCTGAGTAGAACGGCTGCTCCTCCGGATCGAAAGGAGCCAGTTGAGGTGGTTTGGGCATCTGGTCAGGATGCCTCCTGGACGTCTCCCTGGGGAGGTGTTTTGGGCATGTCCTGCCAGCAGGAGGCCCCCTGGTCGACCCAGGACACGTTGGAGAGGTTACATCTCCAATCTGATCCGGGAACGCCTTGGGGTCCTGCCGGAGGAGCTGGTGGAGGTGGCCGGGGAGAGGACGGTCTGGAGCTCCCTAGTTTGGATGCTGCCCCCGCGACCCGGATAAGCGGAGGAAGACGACGACGACGACCTTGTAAACTTTTTTAAGGCGTGTATTATAACAGGCTGGTTGGTAAACAGAATATAACCCATTAAAACTATACATCTTATAAATCCTGCATGATCAGTGCTTCCTGCTGTACTGTTAATCCTCTCTGTGCACTGAAAACGGGAATCTGAGTACCGCTCAAAGTTTAGCTTGAAGTAAGAATCCCTTAGATGAAAACAATAAGAACTTCATTCTAACACAGCTGATTAAACCCAGAGTATTTCTGATTACGTCTGTAATTACTGATACACTTGCAGCAAAGAAATGTGAGTGCTGTTACTCTGGGTGATAGCAGACCCACATTACAGGGGTCAGAACTTACTTTTTAGATAAACTAAATGTTTGTTTTTTCTTATATTTTTAATTGTGGACTATTTGCAGCTTGATAAATGATTGAGGGACTATTATTGAAGAATATTTTCTATGTAGAGTCACACAGTGATAGTTTTATTATGTCACTTTTATTGCATCTTTAAAATATGAATTCAGATTTTAGATTAAATTTTTCCATGAAAGCATGAAATGTTTTCCTGAATTAAAAAGTTAATTTAATTAGAAAAACTTAAAATCTCTCATTTGATGTTGAAAGCGTACACATGCAGCTCGACAGCAGCTGCTGTATGTGTGTGTGCACGCGCGTGTGTGTGTGTGAGTGTGTGCATGTGAGACCCTGCCACTTCACCTATAATATGTTGTTATTTTCAGATTCGGGGTACCTGAGCTGTTCCTTTGACTACGGACTGTGTGGGTGGATCAGAGACAAAGATGGAGACCTGCACTGGGAGACGACTCCTGATCCAACAGGTAAACAAAGAGAATATAGCAGCGGCATTATTTTATTAGAGTTTTAATGAATTCAATTTGGATATGCTCATTTATAGGTCACCATGAAAATTACATAAAGTAATTTGTCATCCTTTGCTCAACAAAGCAGTTCACTTGAGATGTGGATTACATGGCATATTATTTAAGCCTGTGGCTGATGTGCATTTTTTCTTTAGCTTCAGACAAGGAGGTGACATGGTGAAGTATTGTTGAGAGGATACAAAAACTCGAATCAATGCTGTTTAAATGTTACTTGCTTTTATTCACGTGCAAGTTTCCAGACTTTAAAGGGGCATTATGGAAGGATCTTTCATGGCGGTGAAAACGAAGAGTCGGAGTACCCGGCCCGGAGGGTTACCGGGGTCCCACCCTGGAGCCAGGCCTGGGGTTGGGGCCCGTGAGCGAGCGCCTGGTGGCCGGGCTTTCGCCCATGGGGCCCGGCCGGGCCCAGCCCGAACCGGATACATGGGCTCGTCCAACTGTGGACCCACCACCCGCAGGAGGAACATGAAGGGTCCGGTGCAATGTGAATCGGGTGGCAGACCAAGGCGGGAGCCTTGGCGGTCCAATCCCCGGACAAGAAAACTAGTTTTTGGGACATGGAACGTCACCTCGCTGGTGGGGAAGGAGCCGGAGCTTGTGGCAGAGGTTGAGCGGTACCGGCTAGATATAGTCGGACTCACCTCGACACATTGCATTGGCTCTGGAACCCGAGACCTGGAGAGGGGTTGGACACTCTACTTTGCTGGAGTTGCTCCGGGTGAGAGGCGGAGGGCTGGGGTTGGCTTTTTGTTAGCCCCGAGATTCTCTGCCTGTGTGTTGGGGTTTACCCCGGGGGACAAGAGGGTAGCTTCCTTGCGCCTTCGGGTCGGGGAACGGGTCCTGACTGTTGTTTGTGCTTATGGGCCAAATATCAGTTCAGAGTACCCACCCTTTTTGGAGTCCCTGGGACGAGTGCTAGATAGTGCTCCATCAGGGGACTCCATTGTCCTGCTGGGGGACTTCAATGCTCACGTGGGCAATGACAGCTTGACCTGGAGGGGTGTGATTGGGAGGAACGGCCCACCTGATCAGAACTCGAGCGGTGTTTTGTTATTGGACTTCTGTGCAAGCCGCAGTTTGGCCATAACGAACACCATGTTCGAACATAAGGATGCCCACCGGTACACTTGGTACCAGGGCAGCCTAGGTCGCAGGTCGATGATAGATTTTGTAGTCGTATCATCTGACCTGCGGCCGTATGTTTTGGACACCCGAGTGAAGAGAGGGGCGGAGCTGTCAACTGATCACCACCTGGTGGTGAGTTGGATCAGATGGCAAGGGAACATGCCGCGTAGACCTGGCAGACCCAAACGCATAGTGAGGGTCTGCTGGGAACGCCTGGCAGAAGAACCTGTCAAGACGGTCTTCAACTCCCACCTCCGGCAGAGCTTTGACCACGTCCCGAGAGCAGTGGGGGACATTGAGTCCGAGTGGGCCTTGTTCCACTCTGCGATTGTCGAGGCGGCTGTTGCTAGCTGTGGTCGTAAGGTGGCCGGTGCCAGTCGTGGTGGCAACCCCCGTACCCGCTGGTGGACACCAGAGGTTCGGGGAGCCGTCAGGCTGAAGAAGGAGGCCTACAGGGCGTGGCTGGTCTGTGGGTCTCCGGAGGCAGCAGACAGGTACCGGATAGCCAAGCGGGGTGCAGCAGTGGCAGTTGCCGAGGCAAAATCTCGGGCGTGGGAGGAGTTTGGTGAGGCCATGGAGAAAGACTATCGATCGGCTCCAAAGAGGTTCTGGCAAACTGTCCGGCGCCTCAGGAGAGGAAGGCAGCAACTCGCTCACACTGTTTACAGTGGGGATGGGGAGCTGCTGACGTCAACTGAGGCTATAGTCGGACGGTGGAAGGAATACTTTGAGGAGCTCCTCAATCCCACCAATGCGCATTCCGAGGAGGAACCAGAGCTGGGAGGCCTGGGGATGGACTGTCCGATCTCGGGGGCAGAAGTTGCTGAGGTAGTCAAACAACTACACAGCGGCGGAGCCCCGGGGGCGGATGAGGTTCGTCCTGGGTATCTCAAGGCTATGGATGTTGTAGGGCTGTCATGGTTGACACGTCTCTACAACATTGCGTGGTCATCGGGGGCAGTTCCTAGGGAGTGGCAGACCGGGGTGGTGGTCCCCATCTTTAAGAAGGGTGACCTGAGGGTGTGTTCCAACTATAGGGGGATCACACTCCTCAGCCTCCCTGGAAAGGTCTACGCCAAGGTACTGGAGAGGAGGGTCCGATCGATAGTTGAATCTCAGATAGAGGAGGAGCAATGTGGTTTTCGTCCTGGCCGTGGAACTGTGGACCAGCTCTATACCCTTGCAAGGGTGATGGAGGGGGCATGGGAGTTTGCCCAACCAATCCACATGTGCTTTGTGGATTTGGAGAAGGCTTATGACCGTGTCCCCAGGGGCACCCTGTGGGGGACGCTCCAGGAGTATGGGGTGGGTGGCTTTCTGTTAAGGGCCATTCAGTCCCTTTACAAGAGGAGCGTGAGTTTGGTCCGCATAGCCGGTAGTAAGTCGGACCTGTTCCCAGTGAGGGTTGGACTCCGCCAGGGCTGCCCTTTGTCACCGGTTCTGTTCATCACTTTTATGGACAGAATTTCTAGACGCAGCCGTGGTGTGGAGTGTGTCGAGTTTGGTGGCAGGAGAATCTCGTCTCTGCTTTTTGCGGATGATGTGGTCCTCCTAGCTTCATCCAGCTCTGACCTTCAGCTCTTGCTGGGTAGGTTCGCGGCCGAATGTGAAGCGGCTGGGATGAGGATCAGCACCTCCAAATCTGAGACCATGGTTCTCGACCGGAAAAGGGTGGCTTGCCACCTCCGGGTCGGGGGAGAGGTCCTACCTCAAGTGGAGGAGTTTAAGTATCTCGGGGTCTTGTTCACGAGTGAGGGTAGGAGGGATCGGGAGATCGACAGGCGGATTGGTTCGGCGTCTGCAGTGATGCGGACGCTGAGCCGATCTGTCGTGGGGAAGAGGGAGCTGAGCCAGAAAGCCAGGCTCTCGATTTACCGGTCGATCTACGTCCCAATCCTCACCTATGGTCATGAGCTTTGGGTAATGACCGAAAGAACGAGATCGCGGATACAAGCGGCCGAAATGAGTTTCCTCCGTAGGGTGGCCGGGCTCAGCCTTAGAGATAGGGTGAGGAGCTCGGACATTCGGGAGGGACTCGGAGTAGAACCGCTGCTCCTCCGGATCGAAAGGAGCCAGTTGAGGTGGTTTGGGCATCTGGTCAGGATGCCTCCTGGACGCCTCCCCGGGGAGGTGTTTCGGGCATGTCCTGCCGGCAGAAGGCCCCCGGGTCGACCCAGGACACGTTGGAGAAGTTACATCTCCAATCTGGTCCGGGAACGCCTTGGGGTCCTGCCGGAGGAGCTGGTGGACAAGGCCGGGGAGAGGACGGCCTGGAGCTCCCTAGTTGGGATGCTGCCCCCGCGACCCGGACCCGGATAAGCGGAGGAAGACGACGACGATGATTATGGAAGTTTGACAGCTAAAACATGTATAGAAATAATACATTTCTTCTTCATACATTCTCCTGCAATGCCCTGGTCCTGTAGAATGAGCCCTGGCATTTTTACTGTGATCGCCTGTTTTTCTGTAAAATCACAGAAAAAGAGAGATGCTCGGGTCGAGCAGGCTGCTTCATGCGCGTTCACGCTCAGGCATCGCCCGTAGCATTTGCTATCCGTAGCTTTAGCAGCAGAGAGACAGTGCCAACTCAGCGACTTTGTCGCTGTTCCTAACGCCTAGTGACGAACCTAGCTACATTTCTGAGGACCCTTAACTACTTTCTTCTAGATATTTCCTGCAAATTAGCAACACAATTGCCATTTTCGCTCTGAACCGTTCTTTGGATTGACGTTGTTTCAGGTGTCATCAAGGATACAAAAGTTAAAGATACTTTGAATGTTACTGGTGTGTAGCTCACCTTGTAAGATGCCGGACTCTCATGCAGAAGATCTGGGTTTGATTCTGGGTGTGAACATAGTTTATTTAGAGATTCTTTTTTACATTAATGGTATATTTTTTTTTACAGTAAGATGCCCAAATTTTTATTTGACACTCGCCGAACGGCATTGAATTCACGGATAAAAAAAATGTGGGTTCAACTTTCATTTTGGAACAATGTTTCAAGCAAGGGAAGGGAATGATCTGAGCATGCAGGAGGACTGACCCATCATAAACCTTTGTCGGCTGTGCTGAAGAGAAAGGTGCAGAGCCTAATTATTTAATTAATTAGCTGCGTGTTCTCCTGTCCTCTGTCCTCCGGGTCACACACACACACAGAACTGTCTCAGCAGTTATTTTCGTCAAGGAGTGTGCACGTACAGCATGCGCGCCTCGTGCACGAGCCTACTATTGAAGCTGCCGTTACACTTTTGGCCTGAGGGGGCAATCGCGATCATAAAAATCCATAAGTCCGAAAAGTCCCTTTAAAAGTGCATTAGATGAGAATTAGATAAGACACCCTGTGGACAAAGTTTGGTACTGCAGTCCATTTTCAAACCACACAAGTCACTTTCTCATTCCCGTTCTGTGAGTTTCATGACTGTGTCTAGTTACAGATCAGCACCAGAGGACTAGATGACAAAGACGAGTCATACACAGTTGAAAGTGTATAACGTTGTACTGTAATATCAAGTTTTTGGTTATTGTAATAGTAGCATCAGATATTTGTAGAGTAGACTGTTTGTAATTCACCATTAGCATTGTTAGCTCAACGTTAGCCTGTAGCTTATTTTACCTGAAGTTAAAGTAAAACAAAAACACGTTGAGGCTTCTAAAGGTTGGTTTATGCTTGACGCGTCCGCAAGGTCCGCACGGCTCCGCGCGGAAAAGTTGCGTCATTGTGCATCATTTTAACAACCACGCCCCTCCACCGCGCCTCCGCACGGCCCAGAATTTCCGTGACGCGCACCTCGGAAAATTTCTAACCACGCGGA